CTAAAGGTTAAGCGTTTAGGCCCCTTAAGGCTTTAACTCTATGGGCCTGCTATTGAACTTAAACCCTAAACCATTAAACCTTAGCCCTATAGCCTATAGGGCTTAAAGGTTAAGTGTTTAGGCCCTGTACGCTAAGATTTACACTCGATGGGCTTAGGTTTAAATGCCTAAATCTTAAGGCCTAAACCTTTTAAGCCTTAACCCAAAAGGGTTTTACGGTTAAGGGTTCAGGTTTAAATGGCGGTTACATCTTCAACTTCACATCGCCTCCGGGCCCATGCAAGTATTCAACTTGATATCGCTAAATCATGAAAATACCTAGATCTTTGGGGGGGTAGCAGATATATATATATATATATGTATATACATACATATGACCATTTTTCTTACTCAAACTATTTATAGCCAACCCATTTTCTCATGCGGCTCACAACACAGGCATCTACAACCGATCCATGTGCCTCATTCAACTCACCCAGCGCAGGCAACAGCCCTTGTCGGCCATCGGAGCCGTGGAGGATTTCTGCCATCAAAAGCTCTGACGGTTGCTGTTTGAATCAGCAACTTTTCTCACTGTTGGTTTGCAGGGAATGGGGGAATGAGGTACCCGACATAATCCCTTAAAGGGTAGATCTAGGGCCCTAATTCCAGAACTGTACTTATACCTGTACTTATAACCATATTAGGGCACTTAATGGGCTTATAGGTGGGTTATAAGTACAGGTACTATTTAAGTGAGTCGGGCTGGCCCGAGGATTACCTATCACGAAATGTGTTTGGGGCCTCGCTATGAAATTCAGTTAGGTCAGGATTTAGGGGTATATGGGATTTAGGATTTTGCATTCTGGGTACCCACATCCAGAAACGAAAAGGGTCGACTAAAAAAATCGCCCCGCTCTTATGGGTTCAGGGCTTAGGGTTTTCACACGGTCGGCCCCAATGGTACTTATTAACCAATTCCCAGACCCCTGGAAGGATCCAACAAATAGATCCCCTTAAGGGCCCTAAGAGTGACCCAATAGTAGTATGGGGTACATTCATTAATTGCTAATAAATTATTCATTAATTATTATTGAGTTATTAATCAATTATTATTAAATAATTATATTTGCCGGCTCTATTTTTCGGATCCTTCCAAGGGTCTGGGTTAATGTTGCGTCACCCGCTATAACGCACAGGCCCCACGGGGAGGAAGGGGGGGGGGGGTCCTTAGCAAGGCAGGAAAGCTTCAGGCCTTACGGTGCTAAAGGCTTGAGGCCTTTCGGGGCATGATGGTCTCCCCCCCCCCCCCCCTTGATTTGCTTTTTGGGGGTTTTGCGGGGATTTCTTTATAGAGGGTCCAAATTTGTCTGTGAGGGGTTCCTATTAGCCAGTGCAACATTAGTATAGTGACAGCGAACCCTGGGCGGAAATTGCAGCTATCCTAAACCCCAAACCCTAAACCCTTGCGAGGCAGCCGGCGCATCATGGATTGAGATCGATGGCCGCTCGTCTGGCGACCAGGCGCCATCGTGCCACCGGAGTCCTGTTTGGGCGCTAAACCCTAAACCCTAAACCCTAAACCCTAAACCCTAAACCCTAAACCCTAAACCCTAAACCCTAAACCCTAAACCCTGAACCCTAAACCGACTCAATGTGGTCTGGCAAAGAGTCTTGAGCCTGCCAAAGCCCCCGAAAGCCCTAAGCGCCGGCAGGCGTCAAGCCTCAACTGTGGTTCAGGCACGGGAATTTGGCGCCCTAAGCATGTATGGGCCCTTGGGTTGATAAAGGGTATGTAAGCGGGTAAAAAAGGGGCTTGAGGGGTATAAGGACGGCCCCTCGAAGGGACCCGTAATCTTGTTCCTCTACAAACCCCTATATACATACATATATATAGAGATACCTTATAGAGTCCCTGTATTCCCACAATCCCCTATATATACATATATATATATAGATACCTTATAGAGTCCCGGTATACAAAAAAAGTGTCAAAAAACCCTATAGAAAATTGTAAGGGACCCCTCCCTTAGTCCCTTGAACCACATTTTAAAAAACATCCTAAACCGATTGGGGGCTCAAAGCTGCAAACCCCAAACCTTCAAAGCCCCCTAAAACCCTAAAACCCTGAAACCCTAATTAGGGTTTAGGGTTTAGGGTTTAGGGTTTAGGGTTTAGGGTTAGGGTTTAGGGTTTAGGGTTTAGGGTTTAGGGTTTAGGGTTTAGGGTTTAGGGTTTAGGGTTTAGGGTTTACTAAAACCCTAAACCGCAAACCTGACAAGGGTGGTATGTATGCGTAGGTGCCCAGGGGGATCATGGGCTTAGGATTTAGGCTTGAGGGTCTTGGTTGGCCCTAAACCCTAAAGACCCTAAAGACCCTACCCTAAAGACTGTAAAAACCCTAAAGACGGTAAAAACCCTAAAAACCCTAAAGCCCTAAAAACCCTAAAAACCCTAAAACCCCTAAACGGGGTGGCCCATTACCATCCCCATGGAGCCTTCCGAGAGCCAGGTGATGGAACAGTCCGTGGAGCCCAGATCAACATCGTCGGTGCTACAAATCTCGGACCTGGAAGGTTAAGGGTTTAGGGTTTAGGGTTTAGGGTTTGGGGTTTAGGGTTTGGGGTTGAGGGTTTAGGCTTAGGGTTGTCGGGCAAAGGGTTTACAATTACAAAAGGGTTACAAAAGGGTTTAGGGTATGGGGTTTAGGGTTTAGGATGTGGGGTCTAGGGTTTAGGCTTGAGGGTTAAGGGTTTTGGTTGGGGCGGGGCTCTACCATCATTTGCAGGCCTCTACTATGGCAGAAATGCTCGGGGCTGCGTGCCGGTAACGGGGCATATATAGCAGAGACTGTTACGGAAAGGAGCGGAGCTGTAACGGATTCGCTGCGGAGCTGTAACGGAAGCTGCAACAGACCTGAAGCGGACCGGAACTGTAACGGAGCTGTATAACTGAGCTGTAACGGAGCCGTAATGAAGCTGTAACGGATCTGTAACGGAAGTGCAACGGAGCTGTAGCGGAAGCTGTTACGGAGCTGCAACGAAAGTGCAACGGAGCTATAAGTGTAACAGAGCTGTAACGGATCTGTAACGGAAGCTGGAATGGAGCTGTAACGGAGGCGCAAAGGAATTGTAGCGGAGCTGTAACGGAAGCTGTAACGAAGCTGGCACGGAGGTGCCACGGACCTGTCACGGAGCTGTAACGAAGGGCCCACGGTGGGTAGCGCAACTCCCATAGTAAATGATGGTAGCCCACCCCCAAGGTTTTGGGGTTTAGTTTTAAGTTGTTTACTAGGTTTGAGGGGCTTGTTGAAGCTGAAGTACTCATTGCGATGTGAGGGTGCTCAAGCTCTCGTGCAACTGAGGGGTGTGGGGCTTCAGCGGGTTGGGAGATGCATTCGCCCGACAATCGAAATTGCAAACCCTTTGGTCTGTCTTGTTTAAGGGGCCGGGTCGTGGGCTTAGGGCTTGGTTGCGTGGCTGAGACGCTCTATCTGGAACTTGTGCATGACTCCGAGTGTGCAGGCAATCCAGTGAGAGACAGCCAGCACGCTGATAAAGAGCCTCGGGTCACATTGTGTGTGATATTGCGCCGCTCTCTCTCTCTCTCTCTCTCGCTCTCTCTCTCTCTCTCTCTCTCTCGCCTCTCTTCTCTCTTTTTGTTGCTTTCATGTTTCCCCTCTCTCTCTCTCCATCAGCCAGTACACGTCAGCCCCGACACAAAGCCACTTTGCAACTTGTGGCAGAACCGGCCGGTTGGCGAGGCTCCCGGGTCTTGTCAACCCTAAACCCTGACGAGCAGTTGGGGCCTTTTGGGTTTAGGGTCATTCGGCGGTTTACGAGAAACGGGGACCCCCAAAACAGCCCCCCACATAGTAGGACCCCCTTATCATAAAGACCCCAACAAGGTAGCCCCTCATATCGTAAACCGACATGTGGGTGTTGGGGGTAGCAATCGCTCAACCCTAAACCCGAACCCGCGTTTGGGACTGGGGGCTTGGTGATGACGCTCACTTGGGGAGTGGGAGATATTGTTGGGGTGGTTGTTTCTCGGGTTTAAGAGTTTATGGAGTTTGGAGCTTCGGGTTTAGGGTCATTTGGGGGGGCTTTGGGTGATGATTGTGTATGGTTTTCGTTGGCATTTGAGAGTTGAGGGTTTGGGAGTTTAGGGTCTCGGGCTTAGAGGGTCTTTTGGGGGTTGGGGGGGGGTGGTTCTACAAGGTGGTTGAATGGCTCTCCTGGGGCAATCCCCGAACCCAGAGCCTTACCCTAAACCCTCACACGCTGCACCCTAAACCCTTAACCCCAAATCCTGAACCCTAAACCCTAGGGGTCCGGGTACCTGAGTGAGTAGGTGAATTCTTGGGCCTGAAAATACTTGCCTTCTTGGAACTTTGGGGTCCGAGTCTAAACTAGACCCTTAGGGTTTAGAGTTTAGGGTGTTAACTCGTTCTTGGGCGAGTGCGATTCGCTCCGCAAAGCAGAGCAGGTGTTGAATATTTCTACTGTAAATAATGAGACCCCCGAATGCTCTCGCAACCCCCCCCCCCCTCCCTTCAGAATGGGTTTGGGGTTTAGGGTGCTTCAACAAAACATCAACTTGCTTGACTGAAGGGGCGCGCAATGATTTGCAAATACTTGGTGAAAAAACGTGGGCCGCCCCTGCCACTTTTCGGAGCATGTGGGGTCACTGCTTATGCGCAGATCAGGCCGGACAAAGAAGGATTTCAGCTACCATAAGCAGTCCTTCTTACAAGGACATACATACGCTCTGCCATCGCTGCACGTGCTTCAAGACCACTAATTGCTTAAGAACCCCCAAAAAACCAAAACATATTCTTCCTTACAAGGGCTAGATTTTGGGAATATAATGAATATAACCTTTTTGGTTTTGGGTACATAATGAAGATGATCTGTTAGTTTTTGGGGGAGTGCTTAAGCAAATAGTAGAAGACTCGCTTCTACAAGCGCCATTGCACGCTGCATTTCTTGCCAGAAACCCGGCGGCTTGACCGACCAGGGCTAACTTTGCAGCCTTGGGTGTCTTATTCTAGGGTTTAGGGTTTAGGGTTTAGGGACCCAAGAGTAACCTAGGAATACAAAGGGTGCCCTGTTTGGCTTAAAGGGCCGTGTAAGGGAACCTGAACCCTACAAAAGGGGAGTGAGGGCCTAGTCTGGGTCCTAAGTGCCCCTAGACCTTGGGGACAACATGAACCCTAAAATTGGGGTTTAGGGTTTAGGGTTTAGGGTTTAGGGTTTAGGGTTTAGGGTTTACTTGGATTCCTACTGAGATATATTGAACCCTAAACCCGTTAACCCTTTTAGGGTTCATTTGGTCCCCAAGGTCGTCTCGTGATGAAGGAAGGGAAACAATCCCGAGAAGCCTATGATTCGAAAGGGAACTCCTTTTTTATTGCTTAAGCTGGAGTGCTACCCACTCGGGGTCCTAGTCGGAGACGACCGAGCTCACACTATGGGACAACACCTAGACCAAAAGTAGCTTTCGGAATAAAGAGGGTGCCCTTTTTGGTTTAAAGGGGCTTACAAGGGAACCTACACCCTAAAACCAGGGAATAAGGGCCTACTCTGGGCCGAAGCCATGCCAAAGCCATGTGAAAAAAAATCTCCCAACGCCAGCCGAGCTACTCGTCCTGCATGCCAACAACGAGACCAGAGCCGATGGTGCTGACCACTATGGCGAGGATGTGATTTGAAATTAGACAGGCTGCACACTCCCTTGCCTAGGCCCCAGAAGCCCTCTGAAAGCACTTGGTAAATCATGATCCTCTCTAACTCCATAAGGGGAAAAGAACAAGTATCCCAAGGGCCTACCAGTTGCTGATAGGCAGAAGAGACCCGGCACCTGGTCCATGCGAAGGTTAACCGACGGGTCAAGGGGGTCTGAGGATGTCGTGGCAAAAGCCTGCACGCACATGCCCGGTTGGGAGAGCCTCCTGAAGACCTCCACCAGGGCACGCATGGTCCAGCCCGCGGGTTCGTCGTCACCGCGCGCCTTCCGCAACAGGCGCATGCCGACGGCCGCCAGCAACTCGGTCAACATCATTGCAGCTCCGGCACAAATCCCCACGACATAGCTGGCTGGCCGAAAGAGGTAGTGACATGTGGGTGCTGCCTGTTGGCAGCGCATCTGCTCATAGGCCACGAGCGTGATGAGGGCATAGACCGCGCAGCACATGAATGTTATGGCCCACGCCACAACTCCAGCTGTGTGTGAGGCGCGAAGAAAGAGATCCCTTCTCGCCCCGACTTCATGGATTTCTGGCACGCGCCAGCCAAATCTTCGTGCCGCGCCCCGGTAAATTAAGAGGCCGACTGTGTTGATGACATTGAACCGCGCCAGTAGAACAAATACAGCATGGGTCGCTATGGAATTGGCGGCTCGGCGCACTACCTGGTATTGCGTACCCACACCGGTGAAGACTGTGAGGATAAGACCCCCGTAGTACCTTTCAGGGACCCCCGAGCAGAACGCTGTAACTTGGTTGGCCTCTTAATATACTTACATGGGAGTCTTCCAGAATAGAAGATTTTGACATAGATCTAGTAGGATCTCCTTATAAAAGGGACCTCACTAACGTAGCACTACTTTCGGAAACCAACCAAAGAAACCCTCTGACAAATGTTCCTAGATACGATCCTCTGTAACGGAAGGTACAGGACATGCAAGGCGCTAGTCATGCCTCGAGCAAAGTTCCTCGCCAATTTTAGGGTTTAGGGTTTAGGGTTTAGGGTTCAGGGTTCAGGGTTCAGGGTTTAGGGGCACCAGCCCTCCGCGGAGACCGTGACAGTGAATGTGGCTGAGGTGACCCAGAGGGCGGAACAGTCTCGTCGCCCTGGAAGCTTGTTCCTTGAGGACCAGTGTGTTTAGGGGTTAGGGTTTAGGCTTTAGGGTTTCGGGTTTAGGGTCTAGGGTTTGGGGTTTGGGGTTTAGGGTTTAGGCTTCATATACGGTACATAGGAAATCTAGTAGTGCAGGGTATACGACCCCAAACTGTTGGGCTCGGTCCACCAAGGTTCCAAATCAAATGTACCATGTTACTCGTCACGGACTTGTAGATGAACGCTGTGAAGGGCCAAAACATATCCTGGAGCGTTTCCGAAGGGAACTGCAGCAGAACGAAGTAGTTGCCCATGAGTATACTCAAGACGGCGATCGCCCGCACGCTCAACACTGACACCATGCCAAAGAATCTTCTGTCCCCACCGAAGGGAGCAAACACCACCTGTACTCCCTTAGAACCTTAATAAACATATTATGTTTAATATCCTCTTGGGATTGATATTAACAATCGAAAATAATTCTCAAGGAGGATATAGCCACGACGGCTGTCACGGAAGCGAAGAACAGCGAGTATCCTCGGTACAGCCCAAGATAGTACTTCTCGAGAAAGAAGGCAACCCAGTTCACCAAAAGGTCAACTAGGACCGCAGAAGTGGACACCTGGGTAGCCCAGTAGCCATCTTTCAATAAGGGTTTAGGGTTTAGGGTTTAGGGTTTAGGGTTTAGGGTTTAGGGTTGAGGGTACCGTGTTTTTGTGGTTGGTTACTGTATAAGGGGACCCAGAACCAAAAACAAGTCTAGTAGGGTTTTGGGGGTTTCTTATAGTACAATTACAAAGGGACCCTAAGGGAATATCAGTACTTCTTCCGACCCCCCTATACTAAAGTACCACTTGGCTACCAAGGCGCACTTCCGATTGCAAGCTTGCTCATCTGCCAACCTGTTTGCCAACCGGCGGTGCAAAACACTGTGGCAAGGCAGACGGCTGCTGGCACGCGCCAGCCAAGCCACAGAGAAAGGCGATAAAACCCGCCAACGGCAAAAAACATGACCTTGGTAGTTCAGCAGCCCGATTACAATCAGGGCACCCTGTTTGGGGCTGTTTATTTTTTTAGGAATCTTGACCCGCAAAGGCGAAAAGGGCGCCACTGGGATACCCAAGTCACTTGGTTCATCCAGAACTTCATTCCCAAACCCGTGTAAAACAGATCCTCCGGGCTAAATGTCAACTCAATGGGGAAGTACTTGTCTGGCTTGAGTTTCGCATCGCTCAAGTCTGCATTGGCTTCAACTAGATGTCCTGACAGGGTCCCAGCACATGCAAACATACCCAAAACCCCAACTCCCAAACCCCCGAAAGTGAATCACATGAGTATACTCTGATTTGGAGTGTGCTTTGGAACATCTTTCCAAAATGGGGATTTCCGAAGATGGGGGTACCCATTTTGGGGGCCCCTTTAAGGGGAATCTTTGCTATTTGGGGTATAACGGGGTAGGCCTGAGCCTGCCCCAAAGGCACCCTGTGTTGAAACCTGTCCGAATCCCCCTAAACCCTAAACCCTAAACCATAAACCCTAAACCCTAAACCCCAAACCCCAAACCCCAAACCCTAAACCCAAACCCTAAACCCTCAGGAGTCCTACAGCTGCGCTGGTCTCAGGGCAGGCCGGCTCAAGGGAAATCGTCACCTGCTGTGCCTGTGCTTTGGTCTATACGGCTTAGTGGCACGCTCTAAGACTTGAAGCCGAAACCCTTCTTCTGAGTTTGGAAAGCTTGGAGGGTTTAGGGTTTAGGGTTTAGGGCTTAGGGTTTAGGGTTTAGGGTTTAGGGTTTAGGGTTTAGGGTTTAGGGTTTAGGGGTGCGCTGTGTAGTTCACAGTCGCAGGAGCTTTAGGCTGGGAACCGAGCCCGAACAGAAAGAGAACAAGGGACTTCAAGGTCCAGGCATTCCCTGTACATGGGCCCTGAAGGAAGAACCAACCATGAGCAGCCCAGCTTCTTGAACCTCAGCAGCGTCGATTCTGCCTGGCTCGGGCTCCTCAACAACGTCTCCAGGAAGCCCCGCGGCATCGATATGCTCCGGCGGTAGCTTGTCCGAAGGTTTGCTGCAGCTGCATGCGAGGCTCACGCCGCTTGCAAGACAGCCCGACATGGCCAGTGCTCTGTTGGGGGTTAGGGTCCGGGCTTGGGCATCGGGCTCGGGTGGGGCTCTTTTTCGGCGCCCGTATGTTGAGTAAGGCGCTAGACATTCACAAGAGAACTGACCTAAGCTGGGTATGTTGAGCCAACATCTGCGTGCCTGAGCAACCATAAAGATTGAAGCCCTAACCCCTAACCCTGAGGGTCCATCTAAACAGGGAACACTTGGGCCTTAAAGTACTTCCTATATAGGAACTTTGGGGCCCAAATATACAACAATAAGGTACATGGACCCCCATAGGGTAAGCTGTTTGTTAGGGACCCTGAACTGTATAACCCGAAACTTGGATAGCTTGGGGGGCCCTGTAAAAATTAAATGTTTATGGCTTCTTAAGGGGTATACAAGGGATTCAGGCTAGCAAAAACAGAAATAAGTTCAAACCTCCCCTGGAGATGACTAAAGGTTGCCCGAAACCCAAAAGCCCTACACCGTAAACGGAAGAAAAAAAAAACACATTCCAGGCCGGCGGACAAGTAAAGAGTCGACTTCCGGTAGGAAACGCCGAACTCAGCTTGGTAGCGCCGTACCACTCGGATGCCTCTTCACAGGGCTTGGGTTTAGGGTTTAGGGTTTAGGGTTTAGGGTTTAGGGTTTAGGGTTTAGGGTTTAGGGTCTAGGGTTAGGGTTTAGGCTTTAGGGTTGAGGGTTTAGGGTTGAGGGTTTAGGGTCTAGGGTTAGGGTTTAGGCTTTAGGGTTGAGGGTTTAGGGTTGAGGGTTTAGGGTTTTAGGGTTTAGGAGGGTTTAGGGTTTAGGGTTTAGGGTATCCCTGAGCCGTAAATCCTGACAACCTTGCACCCTCGAGCCAACCCACTGCTAAAGCCCCGGAATGCGAGCTGGAGCAATCAACCGCAACCCTAAAACCATGTGCAGTCCCTGAAGCGTTGGGGTTTTAGCGTGCTTAGAGCTTCACCCAAAGCCCTAACCCTGAACCCCAGAGCCCCTAAGCCCAAAGCCCCAGACCCTGAACCCAAAACCCCCAAACCCCTGAACCCAAAACGTGAACCCACAACGCAAAACCCTTAGACCTAAACCCCTCTCTGCTTTAGAACCTCCCCGAACATAATATACTGATCCCTATAAGAATCTCTTTAACCTTTTGAGGATTCTTGAATAATTCCCTAAACCCAAAACCCTACATCCTAATCCCCTAAACTTCAAACCCTGAACCCTAAGCTCTAAACCCTAAACCCTGAACCCAAACCCTGAACCCTAAACCCAAAAGCCATGTGTCCAAATCCGGTGAAAGTGTGACGCCTCGCGCCAGTCTCAGGAGCTTCAGCAGCCTCCGCACACGAACCATTTAGGGTTTATTTAGGGTTTAGGGTTTAGGGTTTGCTGTATCTTGGCGCAGATGCTGTGAAGGTTAGGACGCAGACGGGCCGGAAGGCTTCCTTAGGTGCGCAGAGCAGGTCTGGCCGCACTTGTGGAGGGCCATCGAACACCTTTCTTCCCACCCCATGCTGTCCAACCCTAAACCCTAAACCCTAACCCCCAAACCCTAAACCCTCATTCCTTGTAGGGCTTAGGCCGCCTTAGGCCTAAACTCAAGTCCTCTTCCGTTACCGATGTTATGTCAAAGGGTTCAGAGCCCGCAGGCCAATTCGTTTCCAGGAGGTTTCGGGGACCCAGGCCCACAAGCTCCAGGAAGTGCTTGAGGGGTCGAGAAGGTGCACGGAAGGTGTTGGCCCACAAGGGGGGGGGGGGGGTCCCTGGAAGGTCCAAAGGCCGTCCAGAGGGCCCGTGCTTGCTGGGACTGGGGTCTTGGGTTACCCCGCCGAAGGGCTGTGGGTTTAGGGTTTAGGGTCTAGGGTTGGGTTTAAGGTATTTATTTTATTAAGGGACCTGTTCCGGTTCCGAGGAGAACGGGCTCCGGTACCGGGCCCACCGTGGGTGCTTGCGCCATGGTGGCCGACTGTAGCGGGGCGGCCTACGCCTTAGGGAACCTTCGTCCTAAGACCCCAAACCCCAAACCCCTAAACCCCTAAACCCCTAAGCCCCTAAAACCCTAAACCCCTAAACCCCTAAAACCCCAAAACCCCAAAACCCCAACACCCCTAAACCCCTAAACCGAAAGGGATTTGTCTGACTGATGCCCGCTTCCAAGGTTTCAACTTTCATACGGAGCCTCATGTTGTCTAGGGTTTAGGCTAGGACTGAGGAATCTGAATCTAAGGGCCTTAGGATGCAAGAATAGCATCAAGGGGTCTAAGGCCGGAAGCCCGAAAACTCCAAACCCTCATGCCTTACACAAGAAGAACGCCTGATGATCCACTCTGCAAAAAGCCATGAACCCCAAACCCGAAACACCACAAAACAATTAACAAACAAATCGGTGTAAGCGCCGACTACCAAAGACGAACCGAGAAGAGGCCTCAAACCTAAACCCTCTTTCACCAAGCCCTAAACCCTAAACCCTAAACCCTAAACCCGGAACCCTGAGGGCCTGAGCAGCCGGATGGTCCGGAGCAGGCCCAGGCCAGTGCCCGGGGACAGATAGTCCAAGGGCAAAGTGCTCATCCTTGGGTTGAGGGTTTAGGGTTTAGGGCTAGGGTTTAGGGTTTAGGGTTCAGGGTTCAAGGTTCAGGGTTTACCACCACCCAAAAAAGGCCGAAGTAGTTCAGTCAGACAAGCTGCACAGACCCATTAAAAAAGAACCAAACTGTGTACGTGAGGCTATATATACATAATACATATGTATGTATGTATATATGCATGCGCCACCAGTATAAAGAAAGTATATATATATATATATATGTATATATATATATGTATATATATATGTATATATATATATACGTATAGATGTTATAATATGTTACTGTGCACGGCAATCAGCAGTCCCAAAAGCGGCTTGGTCTGTTATCGGTCGAGGGAGTCCGGCCCCTTGGAACGCCCCGTGGTATAGGGTTTAGGATTTAGGGTTTAGGGTTTAGGGTTTAGGGTGTAGCTTTTAGGGTTTAGGGTTTACCCAGATCTTCCAAAAGCCCTCAATTAAGGAATATACCCTAATTCAGAATGATGATCTTTAGCAGAAATTCGGAATATATTCCTTCAGTAAGGGCGTTTTGGAAGGTCTGGGTAGGATCAGACGCGGCACAAGTCGATCAAGAACCAGCCACGAAGATAGCGCAGCGCGATCATTTTTTTGATCCTCGCAGTCTGCAGAACATGAAGTAGGCATGTGATATAATCATGGCACCTGTCGATCAACATACCTGTTCCCCGAAATTTCCCCATATTCCCTCGTAAACCCAGAGGAACATAAGGACCTTAAGCTCAAGCCCCATCTCTCTATTTATACATCTATTTTCTATCTGTTGCTCTGCAACCTCGCGAAGGGTAGTTACACGGTCTCTTAGTATGGGCCCATAAATGGGAGACCTTATATACAACTTATATATACCCTACAAAGATCAGGGGCCCATACTTCAGAACCGTTTAAGGAAGGTAAGGGGCGGTATTAAGGGACCATGTTTTCTCCTTAGAACCCCAAGACATCCCAAGCCCTAAGCACCCCGCCCCCCCCCCACGCCCCAAAGTGACCCGAAGCCCTATACCTTGGACCCTGGTTTAGGGTTTCGGTGAGGACCATGCGGGTTTCGGTAAGGACAACGTCAGGGAAGCGTTTGCCAACTGTGGGTACGCTTGGGGTGGAGGGTTTAGGGTTTTGGGTTTAGGCGTCAGGGCCGAAGAGCTTCGGGTTTGGCGGTTTAGCGCCGTGGTTGCGGTTTTAAGGGCTTGTAGGGTTACCCTATAAACCCTAAACCCGAAACCCTAGACCCTCCCTAAAGGGTTGAGGGTTTAGGGTTGAGGGCTGAAGGCCAAAAGTCCTGCCAAATAGTATAGAGCAATCGACCTGACTAGACGCTGGCCCATTGGGGTTTAGGGTTCAGGAACCCAAAACCCTAAAACCCAAAACCCCAAAGCCTAAACCCTAAACCCCAAACCCTAAACCCCAAACCCTAAACCCCAAACCCTGAACCCTAAACCCTTAGTTGTCTGTCCGTTGAGAGCTTACACAGGGACATCGAAGATACCCTTCCGACCCAGGAGGAACAGCGTTGATTGATGCGTTGCTCCACCTTCTGATGTGCATCAACAGTGGCAAAACCCTATAACAGGGTTTAGGGTTTAGGGCTTAGGGCTTAGGGCTTAGGGCCTAGGGTTTAGGGTTTAGGGTTTAGGGTTTCGGGTTTAGGGTTTAGGGGTTAGGGTTCAGGGTTTAGGGTTTAGGGTTTAGGGGTTTAGGGTTTACGGTTTAGGGTCTATAGGGCTTGGGGTCGCCTATCACTTCTGCTTGTCCTAAAAGCCGTCAGACCGACGCGCAGGCGAGCAGCTGCACCCACCGCGGCCCATATCGTGTCTCGATGGGATAGGCAATAAAGAACTGGAGAACCATGTCTGCGAAAAAGAAGGCCTGACTTGAGCGCCAAACGGTTTGGGGTTTAGGGTTTAGGGTCTAGGGTTTAGGGTTTAGGGTTTAGGGTTCAGGGTTTAGGGTTTAGGGTTTAGGGTTTAGGGTTTTAGGGTTTAGGGTGTAGGGTTGAGGGTTCAGGGTTTAGGGTTTTGGGTTTAGGGGCCTCAACAAGTAGCGTGTTCAGGTTGGTTTTCCTTTCAGGTTTTTGGGCTTAGGTCTAAAGGTAAGTTCCCCTAAACTTCCCTAAACCCTAAACCCTAAACCCTAAATAAACCCTAAACCCCAAACCGTGCCAAGAAACGACGGCTTACAAGGTAGGGATGTTGCCTGTTATTCTGGCAGTCCTTAATAGGTATTACAGTAGGGGGTACTGGAATCCCTACTAAGGACCGTTAGTATAAGGGGGAACATCCTAGCCTTGAAGGAACAAAGCGACCACCCCCCCCCCCCCCAAAAAAAAAAAAAAAAAAGTGTCCTAAACCGCCTGAACTCTAAAAACCAGACATGCACGACAGAGCATGTTGAGTGTTTAGGGCTCGCTCCGTAAAACTGGCTTAGGGATGTTTAGGCTTTAGGGCCCCGGCTAGGATGAACCATAAGCATGGGGCAGTTCTCTGAATCTGGGTCCCTTTTTAAAAAAATAGGGTGCTGGTACTATGAGAAACAAGACCCCAGAAAAGGCCCCTCATTTAGAGGACTGCTCATGGAAGAGCTTCGCTGAGGCTTCAGGTACCCAGGCCGCATCTCTGGATGCGGATTAAATTCCGCCAGGACGCATTCGTGAGGATGTTGAAAACCTTGGCAAAGGATCCTCAACCCTATAAGGCCCTACACATGATTACACCTTCCCCAGAGCCATGATGAGCCATGTCTTCAAGATTGCATGGGGTAGCTTCAGCAACTCCACAATAAATTCTGCATAACTCGTTCCCGTGCAAGGCTGATGTGAAGAACGTCCTGAATCAAGCTTACTTTAGCAGCAAGCAGTCTTGCAGACTGGATGACATGTAGTAAAGAGCTTTTGGGCTGAGGGTTGAGGGTTTAGGGTGGTTTCGGGAACAGGAGGCAGGGACTCGACGGTAAATATGCACAACGGCTGCGCCGAAAGATTTTGCATAAGCCAAACGGACGAGCAGCCCCGATGGGAGAAACCAGGTCTCCTTCAAGGAAGCCAGCTTCAAACGGCGTTAGCACGGCCACAAGAACCTGATCAATGACTTGGAGAGGGTGTGGGGTTTAGGGTTTAGGGCTCTAAGCAGGACCCTAAACCCTGAACCCTAAGCAACAAGGCTCCTGATAAAACGAAGACCGTTAACCCTAAAGCCATCTATTGACGGAGGTCACGGCAACCCTCAAACCAAAGCCACCCATCCAATTTTTGGGAACCCTCCCCCCTCCCGCCCCCCGTTTAGGGTTTAGGGTTTCGGGGTTTAGGGTTGAGAGTCCAAAACAAAACTTAGTTCCCAGTGTGCGGTACCTTGCCTAAGGCTTTTATGAGGGTAGAGGAGGGCTGTAAGGGTTGTACATTATCGGTGAAACTGCCCTTAGGATTTGGGTCAAGGGTTTAGGGCTTAGGGTTACCCATCCAAAATGGGCCTGAGACCTCAGCTCATGCCCTTGACCTTAAAGCCCTGCAAACCCTAAACCCTAAACCCTGAACACTCAGTTGAAGAATCGTCTGCTGCCCAGGTGCCAGTAGAACGGCACACACCTTGGATGTCAGTCGAAGTTGGGGTGCTTCCGGGCATCGGTAAGGGCAGAACTATGTCATTTTTGCTGGCTCTTATTCTTCCTAGACTTTGATGCGGCATGGCTGTTTTGTGGCGGTTTTTGCTGCGAAGTGAGTTTGATTGGGGTAGTTCTAGGAGTTGCAGAATTCATGATCTTCGTGAGGGTTTAGGTTTTAGCAAGGAGGTCTGGGTATCTTTGGGATCCTCACAAAAGACCTAGGTTTAAAGGAGGGAGGCTTAGGGTAGTTTTGTGGAGTTGCAGAAGTAATGGTCTTCAGAAAGCCAAGATGCAGAGATGATGATCTTCAAGACGCCAAGTTGCGGAAGCAGTCTTTTACTTTGTTGCAAGGGACTACGAGCGCATCATCAATCGCAAGCTGTGTTCTGAGGCACGCACCGTGTCCCATTTCCACAGGGGGCGGCTGCGTTCCTTGCTGAAAGCCCCTAAGCCTTGAGGCCTCAATGCCTGAGTCCTCAAAACCGAAAACTCCTAAACCCTAATTAAACCCTAAACCCTAAACCGTAAACTCTTCAACCCTAAACCCTAAACCCTAAACCCTGGTCTTTACGGCTTAGGGGGTCCCAAATCCCCAATTATGATACCGCGCTCAGAGGTTTCGGGTTGACTTCAGGATGGTAAGCCCTGCGGTTTAGGGTCTTAGGATTCATTGTTTAGGCTTCAGGGTCTAGGGTTTAGGCTTCAGGGTTTAGGGTTTAGGGTTTGAGGGTTTGAGGGGTTTCAGGGGTTTGAGGGGTTTGAGGGGTTTGAGGGGTTTGAGGGTTTGAGGGTTTGAGGGTTTGAGGGTTTGAGGGTTTGAGGGGTTTGAGGGTTTGAGGGTTTGAGGGTTTGAGGGTTGGAGGGTTTGAGGGTTTGAGGGTTTGAGGGTTTGAGGGTTTGAGGGTTTGAGGGTTTGAGGGTTTGAGGGTTGAGCCCTGCCTGTGAACCCAACCTCTACAAGTTAGAGGGTGGAGCGATTTAGGAGTTTTTGGGTTCTGGGGTTTTGGGGGTTTAGGGTTTTGGGGTTTAGGGTCTTAGGGTCTAGGGATAGGGTTTAGGGTTCAGGGTCTAGGGTCTGGAGACAGGGGGCTTGGGCACCTAGGCCCAGCAAAATACAGGACTTAGGGTTTAGGGTAGTTCCTGAGGGTCCATGCACCTCATTATTAAACGTGGGCCCCAAAGCACCTGTATTTTATAGCATTCCAAGGCCCAAGTATTCCGTATTTAGGTACAAGGGCCATGAGAAAGTTGGCAAGTTGGACTTAGGTTTGATGCATCGGAGCGTTGTGACGACGGTGGGCTTGCGACCCGAGCTTTTCCGGCTCAGGCGCTAAGAGCTCCCTGTAGCCTGTACCCTAAACCCTAAACCCTAAACTTGGCTGAACTCAGGAGGGTAGCTAAAAAATAAGTTTTTAGCTGCCTTCTTAAGAAACCCAATAAACCCAAAAAGGCTAAAGATGTAAAGTTACAGTAGAGCACCACAAAGTAAACCCTAAACCCTAAACCCTCAACCCTACGCCGCAGGCCAGTGTCCGGAAGGATGACGCAGCGGTCCTTCTGCAAATTGCCTGAGCATGAGGCTTGGTAACCAGTGACCATACTATGATAAGGGTTCTTACTAGGCATTGTAATAGGGGGAACTATAATCCTGTTCAGGACTATACTAAGGGTTCTTAATAGGCTTTAGGGTTTAGGGTTAGTCCCTATTCAAGAAGTGGCTTTGGCTCATGGCACTCAAACCAACATGCCCATAAACACAAAGTAAGAATAGGGCTTATAGGCTTATAGTATATAGGGTTTCGGATTTAATCAGCTGGAATTCCGATCATGGCTCCTTAACAAACACCAAGGCCTGCTCGGAGCAAACAGTATTATGCCCCCTACAAAACGCATCAAAACGCAGGCCTACCAACAACTGCTCTGTGTATATGTGAAACGCATTTGGAAGGGCATGTCTCCCAATTGTAGTCTCTTTTCGGGTTCGCTTTACAATATGGGGCCATGATGTAAGAAACTACCCATATGCAGATAGTATAGTAAGGAAGTCTCCATATGAAGTGACAAAGTCCCAAAATGTCCCAAACCCTAAGCCGTATATCTAAACCCGACAGCCTAAGCACTACAATCCCCCCCCCAAATGTTTTAAAAAATGCGCAGCACAAGAAGCTGACCGAAGACAGCGATGTCCTTTTGGACTGCTCTCGCTGCGATCGCGGCGTTCTCGTTTCCACGCCTTAAGTGCAGCTCATTTTGGCCTGCGCATGTAAAAGTATTTGCTGCTTCTTGGCGCTTTGCAAAAGTTGGCATACATTAACTGGCACTAGCAAAAGTTGTCCTTATTTTGTGTACACTTTGGCGGTCCAGGTAAGCAAGACGCACATACACACCACAGGCACAGGCACGCACATAGACGCAGACACAGACGCAGACGCAGACGCGGACGAAGACACAGACACAGACACAGACGCAGACAAACACGCAGACACACACACGCGCGGGCACGCACACACACACACACACACACACACATACACACACACACACACACACACACACACACACACACACACACACACACACACACACACACACACACACACACACACACACACACACACACGCAGAGACAAAGACAGAGGCAGAGACAGAGGCAGAGACAGAGACAGAGACACACACACACACACTCTCTCTCGCGAAGTGCAACTCAACAGTCAAGTTGCCCATGGCATGACCTACAGCCAGCCGATGGCCATGAGAACTGCGCAGCACTATAGTCTTTATAGGGATTAAGGCTTTGGAGGTTATTAGGGTTTGAGGGGTTTGAGGGGTTTAAGGCTTGTTTTTTGGGGTGGGTTTAGGGGTTTAGTGAGCTTTGCGGCTCCAAGGTCATGATTAGGGTTTAGGGTTTAGGGTTGAAGGTTCCTTTTTCATGGCGCTCTCCAAAGCCCACAGCCCTAAACCCTAAACCCTAAACACTAGGAGTGCTACGGGGGGTTCAAGGCAAGAAGGTTACCGAGGCGACGGTCGTCGCCCAAGCTCCTTCCCCGCCCTTGTGAAATGGAGAGTTTTGTGGTTGGGGTTTGGGGTTTGGGGTTTGGGGTTTGGGGTTTGGGGTTTGGGGTTTGGGGTTTAGGGTTTAGGGTTTAGGGTTTAGGGTTTCGGGCTAGCGAAGCCTAGAGTTCGTGGGCTTGCAAAGCTACCAAGGCTTCCATCTTCGGCCTACCCGCTGACCTTGCAAGGACTCTTGAAGGTTTCTGGGCCCCAAAGACATGACTCTGAAGGCTTTGGGGGCTATTCTGGAGCCTAAGGGCTATACGAGCCCAAAGCCCTTGTCTTAGGGTGCTGAAAGCCAGAAAGTCGCCGCGGCCGCTCTGGGTCTCCGTGGTTTTAGGGTTTAGGGTTTATTATGGGGTTTAGGGTTTAGGGTTGAGAGGGTTTAGGGATTTGAGGGTTATGGGTTTAGGGGATAGGGGTTAGGGTTGACAGGGTTTAGGGATTTGAGGGTTGAGGGTATAGGGGCTTCAGGGTTTGTCTTAGATCCGACATACAAGTAGAGGCCAAACCCTAAACTTAACGGTTCTGATTCCGAGTATAGGGGTTTGGGACCGAGGGAAATGAGATAAAGTTGTCAGCCACGCAATCCTTGGCACCCACGGGAAGCAGATTGAAATGCTTTCTGGGAGGGGGGGGGGAGGGGGCTGTTAGGGTTTAGGGTTGAGGTTTAGGGTCGCGGGTGTAAACCCTAAACCCTCAACCCCAGGCGCTTAAACCTAAGGCCTGAACCCTGAGCCTCATAAGCGTTCTTGGATTGTGGATTCAGAGTTCAGGGCTGAGGGGCCCTAAGCCGTAAACTCCCAATTGCTCAAGAACCCCCCCCCCAAAAAAAAAAACAAAACATATTCTTCCTTATAAGGGAAAAAAGTGATTATCTCTTTTTTATTTTGTTTTTTTTTTTTTTTTTTTTGGGGGGGGGGGGGGGTATTAAGCAAATCAGTAGTAGTAAATGATTTAGGGTTTAGTAGCCCATGCCACCTCCTCTAAAGCTAGGGTTTTAGGGTTTAGGGTTTAGGGTTTAGGGTTTAGGGCTACGCTGCTCCCACACACTGCTCCCTGCTTTCTGGTTCTTAGAACCAGGGGGCTTGGTACCCGAAACTCAAAACGCCACTTCAAGAGGATCCCTGCGGCTTCCAAATTCCGGTAAGATAGAAGCGGCTTACTATTTGGACCGAAGAAGGATCAGGGTTTAGGGTTTAGGGTTTAGGGTTTAGGGCTTAGGGTTATGTAAATTTCAAGGGGCCTTCTGTTCCCTTATCAATGCTGCTAATTCTCAAATCACACCGAGCCTCTACGAGCTGAAGGGTTCTATTCCGAAAGTATCTTTGGGTGTTCCGCGAAAAAGGATCATACTATGTTGGGGTACAATGAGGGGAACCCTAAACCCTAAACCCTAACCTTTAATTATTCCCTCAACACTACACCCTAAACCCTATTTTGGCCTAAACCAAACTCGAAACCCTAAACCCTAAACCGCTCATATGGTTGTGGGGGGAGCGGCTCTCTGGGTTTAGTCTTCGCAGTCATTCAGGGTTTAGGGCTTAGAGGCTCGGCCGCAGAGTTGACGTTTAGGGTTTAGGGTTTATATAGGGTTTAGGGTTTAGGGTTTAGGGTCTAGGGTTTCCGGGTTTAGGGTTCGGGGTTCAGGGTTCAGGGTTAGGTCACGCAGCTGCAAGTAGTTGCGGACTGGTGGCGTTGGCCTTAGCTCCCCGGGCCTCAAAACAACAAGCCACCCCCTACAACTCCCTAAGCCCTTGACTTGAGGCAAGTGCCCTAAACCCTAAACCCTAAACCCTACACCCTAAACCCTAAACCCTAAACCCTAAACCCTAAACCCTAAACCCTAAACCCTGAACCCTAAACCCTAAACCCTAAACCGCCAGCAGCCACTCGGCCTGGCGAAGGACGTACTCGTCGTGCATGGTCCCATTCACGAGCAGATCTGGAGCCTTAGCAGGGGTGATGCGGTTTAGGGTTTAGGGTTTAGGGTTTAGGGTTAGGGTTTAGGGTTTAGGGTTTAGGGTTTAGGGTTTAGGGTTTAGGGTTTAGGGCGGTTGAGGGCTTTTTAGGGTTTCGGTGCTCTATGGGGTTTAGAGGGCTCGGGGCTTGGCGGTATTTAGCCCGAAGGGTCCATGTACCTTCTGTTGTTCAGGGTAGGGCTTAGGGCATGGGGTTTAGGGTCTCCTTCAAGATTGAGTGAAAGAGAGAAAGAGAGAAAGAGAGAAAGAGAGACAGAGAGACAGAGAGAAAGAGAGAGAGAGAGAGAAAAAAAAAGATAAAGAGAGAAAGAGAGAAAGCGAGAGAGAGAGCCGGGTTGAAGGGTTTAGGCTACAGGATTTATGGTTCAGGGTTTAGGGAATGCTTGCTGCATGTCTTGGCCGCCGACTGAAGGGAAATTTCTGAGGGAGCCTGCCTCCTCAAACCCCGAGAGTACTAAACACCATTCTGGGTTCTGAACCCCTATTTCAGCATCTGGTCATAGCATGTGATGCCAGGAAACCTTATGGTGGTGTCTGCAGCCTGGCGTTTGTTGTTTGGTGCTGGGGACTCGCTGGTCTTGAGCATGGGGCATGTTTATGGGCATTTCGTGTCCGTTTGGTGCTTGGTGTTGGGTGTTTGCTGCTTGGTGTCGATGGTTGGTGTGGGTGTTTGGTGCTGGTGGGTGGCGTCGGCGCTTGGTGCTTGGTGTGACTAAACTCTAAACTCTAAACCCTACACCCTGCACCCTAACCCCTAAACCCTAAAGCTTAAAGCCTACAGGCTAAAGACTGAAGCCTCAAGCCTACAGCCCCAACCCTGTCTGTTTGGGGTGTCTTGTTTCTTAAGGGGCTCAAGGCCCAGGCCATTTGGAAGTCTCGCATGCACATGAAGCGCGTGGCCACGTACCTCGGGGATCCGAGCTTACTGGCTTCCGAGGCTGCAGCCAAGGAGTTGTTTTGGGGTTGTTAGGGCTTTTAGGGCCCCTAAGCCCTGAACCCTAAAACCTAAACCCTAAACTTGTCATCCTCTGGTACACTAGCTGCTCGCTAGACCTGCAGGCCTATACCCTCAACGCTATGGGAGAGTCTCTGAGTCTCTGTCCTGTTTGACGGATGTCCCTCTGGTTCTTAGTAGGGAATGTGGGAATGAGGTACCCTGCAGAACCAATCCCTTAAAAAGGTATATATAAGGGGATGTAGGGTCCGGGTCCCTCATTCTCTGATTCCTTATACCAAGATCCAGCCAGATGTAAGCTTTGTGCGCACTCAGATGGCTTGGAGGAGTTGCCGGGTTTTGGGTTTTGGGTTTTGGGGCATGGAGCTGTTACCTTGAACCCTAAACCCCTGAACCCCTAAAACTACACTCACCAGGAGATTGGGCGATGCTTTCGAGGTCAGGCGTGGAAACTTAAGGCCTTTTTTCGAATTTAGGGCGCTTAGGGTTTTGCAGGGTTTATGGGGCTTCTAGGGCGAAAAGCTTTCAGGAGATTTAAGGTCCTGAACCCCAAAACCCCTCACATCTGAGCTCCTGTTTTGGCCCAAAACCCTCAACAACAAAAACCCCGAACCCTCAACCTTAATCCCAAACCTCAAGGCCATCTAGGGTTTAGGCTTGAGGGTTTAGGGTCTCATTCACTGTCACAGACAACTATTCGGCTGACCCCGGCTTACCTTACCCCTCATGGGAGTGGCGCACGCGCGGGACAGGATGGTGATCGGATGGGTGCTGACGTTCACGACGCCCACCATCGCCTGTCTCAATGGGAGTGAGGATCCTGGTTCAAAGCTTAGGGTCCAGTAAGTTATAAGGTCTAGAGTTTTGTTGGGGTTCTAGGATTTTGGGGTCGATTTAGGGCTGGAGGGGGAGGGTTTAAGGTTTTAAGAAGAATTTCAAGAGTTTGAGGTTGTGTTGCGTATGGTGTTTGGGATCTTGATTGTTAGGGCTTTATGGGTTTAGGGCTTCATGTGCTTCGTGTGTAAGCCTCGTAATAGGCCTGAGGCTTTGCCAAATCCTTCACCAAACCTTCCCGCCGCCCCAAACCCTAAACCCTAAACCCTAAACCCTAAACCCTAAACCCTAAAACCCTAAAACCCTGAAACCCTGAAACCCTGAAACCCTAAACCCTAAACCCTAAACCCTAAACCCTAACCCAAACCCAAACCCTAAACCCGAAACCCTAAACCCTGAACCCAAAACCCTAAACGGCCGATGGCCTCGCCATCGCTGTTAACAGTCTTGTTGGCATTCAGCGCCTGCACCTAAGTCCACCAGCTTAGATTTAGGGTTTAGGGTTTAGGGTTGAGGTTTAGGGTTCGGGTTTAGGGTTTCGGCTTCCAGTTTTTAGGGTTCAGTCCTATATCCCGGTACTGCTTGGCTTCTGCCGTACAAGGGTCCATGTACCTAAACAGGGACTCCCTTGGGCCTTAAATTTGGTTGCTACATAGGGTCATTCACTAAACCCTAAACCCTAAACCCCAAACCCCAAACCCTAAACACCAAATTGCAATAATGAGCTCCATGGAGCCTCAGGTTATAGGGTTCGGGGTCCAGCTCTTAATGTCCCCGGGGATTTGGGGTTTAGATTACACCCTAACCCTAAACCCTAAACCCTGATCCCTAGACCCAAATCCCTAAACCCTAAACCCTAAACCCTAAACCCTAAACCCTAAACCCTAAACCCTTACTTGCAG